GACGTTCCTTACCTCCGGCCACAATTTTAATCTAGGTTTTATTGAAGGAATTAGACAAAAAATCAGAAAATGAACTCAGAAAACACACCCAACTGTGTGTTCTTGGTGTTTGTGTGTGAAAATTCGAAGCCAATGAAGAAAATGAACATGAACTCATCAGTTTTGCGAATGAGGAGATACTCACAAACCTAGAACACATACAGGTACACAAAAATCTGGATCCAAACCCAAGGGTTGAAGATAAAAAGAACTCAAACCCGAAAATCAAAACCCCTAAAATCTATGGTTCGTTCATCCGCTCTTGAAGATCTTGCCCAGAAATAAAAACCACAACGCAAAGGTTTGAAGATGATGCAGGGGTTGATGGTTAGCGTTTGAGGAGATGTTTGATGGTGTTCTTGTTTCAACGATGGCAACGAGTGAAACGAGTGGAGCGACTGTTGGTTTACAAAGGTGTAGGAGGGTTTTTTAGATCTGGGTTTGAAGGTCATCCATGGCATATTTTTTTAATTTTTAAATCATTTGAAGGTTCATCCATGGAAGAAACAAGTTCAAGAACAAACACTTCAGATGTGTTCGTTGATTTCAAATTTGTTCATTGCTTCTGAAATCGTTTTTAAGAGCGTATTCATCGATTTTCAGAACCCTCAAACCTGATGTGTGTGTATTTCTGGTTTAAATGATTTCATGAATTTTTTTGAAAGTGCCGGAAAATTAATGTTCGCCGGAGAAGTTGACCGCGCCAGAGAAGATGACTGGAAAATCATATTTGGCCGGAAACCACGTCGGAAACCGGCAAACCCAGTATTACCGGTCATAAGGGTATAATGTACAGGTTTCAACAAGTTCAAAGGTAAATAAAACATGAAAAATAATTTAATGACCAAATGTGACAAATAGCTAAAGTACGTTGCCATCTCATCTCATTATCCCCAAAATAAAACAAAATTAAATATTATTTTGATGTTTCCTCAACTCGTGATTCTATCCGTATTAAATAAATAAATTAATAATTTTTTAATATATTTATCATTATTAGAATATATAAATATATATTTAATAAAATCAGTAATTTTTAATGTTTGTTAATATTAAAATATGTATAGGTAAAAAACTGTAAAAAGATATTTAATTTCTCCAAAAGAAATTATCCCGTTTTATTTGTAACTTGTAAGATTTGATGAGTCATCATGGAAGCTTTATTGTCTCGTCATGCTTATCCAGTCTTCCTTGGACAGCTGGATCCCTCTCATCCCTCACGTGTCGTCTCTCTAACCCTACCCATCCGCAGCCACCCCGGCACCGCCATTCTCCCCCACCACTCTCTCGCGGCGGTCTTTGTCCCCCAGATACCCAAATTTTAAATCATTGGATATAGCAACTGCTAAATTAACCAAACCAAGATTTCACCTTTCGCATCTCCTTCAATCTCTCACATAATTTCCAAATTTCTCGACTAAATTCGCACAATTTCGCCAGATTTCATCCGTACCAGTACGACTGCCGTTCTCCACCTCGCATCTCCGTTTAAAGCGGCGGAAGAACAGGTCAGAATTTCTTTCTCCCATGTATGCCTCTATATTCGCATGTATAACATACACACATCGAGCATGTCAAAGTATGTGTTGATTTACTGATCGAATTAAAGGAGCTGGATGCGATCGTCATTTTTGAATAATTGTGGTTTAAGTAATAGCCTAGAATTTTCATTTATTTTTTATAATTGTGGTTTATGTATTTCATAGAAGAAATTTGAGCTAAATTGATGAAAATAACATGCTCAGAAGTCAGAACTAGTCGATTTATCATCTAAAATTGATAATTACAAGAAAAAAAGTTATACAAAAGGTAAAGATTTACTTGATATTAGTGGTAGAGAAAACAACGATAACCAAAAGCCAAAATACTCATTAACTTGGGACAGAGGAAGTAGGGCATACATAAGTTTCTTCTCTTCATTGTTTTTATATGAAAAGATCGTTTAAACCTTGAGTTTTATTCTTTATTTTTTATTTTCTAATATGAAATATTTATTTAATTCTTAGGAGAGTGTGTAATTATAGGATTCTTATTTTAGTTTAACAGATATATCTTAAGAGAAAACCATAAAAACAAATATTATGTACCACTTGGCCTTTGGCCACTTTCTGATTACTCTTTTATCCATGTCATCGCCATGTCATCATCTCCAATCTTTCATATAATTATGCAGAAGATATTATAAAGATATAAAGAGTCGACGTCACCAAATTTTTTGGCAGCATTTTGATATTTCATCCCGTGGTTTCATGGGGGCTGAGGAACAAAGCTCACCTGCCAAGCATTCAAATCCTACTTCAACTCAGGTTTCCTCACTTTTTTTTTTTTTTTTTGCATGATATAAAGTTTTTTTTATTTCTGTGATTAATTGATTATAATTAAAAGTTGTTTTATTTTCTTATTTACAGGAAACAACTCCATCTCCATATCCAGATTGGTCACAGGTGTGTGTAAATTTTAATAAACAATGATTATTAATGTTATTTTAAAAGATCCAATGATTTTTATATTAGTTTATGACATTTTATTCAGGCATGTTATAGCTCTGGCTTTGCTCCACCTTTCTTTGCCTCGTCCCCAGCTCCTCCGTATATGTGGGGTGGCCAGGTGATCATCTCCACTTGCATGTAAAATCTTGAGTGTGTGTTTGGTTTGTGGATTCCGACGGAATCGGAATCTCCAATTCCATTCCGTGGTTTGTTGCCAAACCAACGGAATTGATTTCGTGGAGATTCCTTCACAATCCATACTTGAGAGATTTCATCATTCCTAAAAGAGGGTGCGAAGAATTGAGTTTCATTCTTTTTTTATTAGAAAAACCAAATTCGGCCTCTTAAACTCATTACAAAACAAATGGATAAAGGGCATTTTGGTCATATTACACAATTTACAATCTTATTTAGATATGATTGAATTCTTAGTTTCCTGCCAATCAAACACATCACAGATTACAATTTCTTCATATTCCACTTTTGTCAGATTCCAATTCCTTTGACAGATTCCATTCCTTTAACATATGGATAAAGGGTATTTTGGTCATATTACATAATTTACATTCTTATTTCAGCATCCTATGATGCCACCATATGGGACGGCGGTTCCATACCCTACTATGTACGCTCCACCAGGAATCTATCGTCATCCTAGTATGCCTATGGTAAACCAAATACCCTTTATTTTTATTTTTTTAATTTTGCATTTTTTTTCTAGAACAGTTTGATGTTAATTTAATTCTCTTTTTCTTTTATTGTTAATCCTTCCAGACCCCTAGCCAACCGAATCCAGAATTGGAAGTGAAGGCCACTAATGGGAAGGACAGGGCTCCAAACAAAAAGTCCAAGGGCAATTCAGGAAATTCCAATGCTGGTGGTGGTAGGGCAGCATCAAGTTCAGGGAACGATGGTGCCACCCAAAGGTTTGCAAACTTTAACTTTAAGTAGCTTTTGGGGTGACGGAATCGGAATGGTTAATTCCATTTGAATGAATGCGTGATGGAATGGAATGGACTCTGATTCTTTCCATTTTGTAAATAATAATTCATATAAAAAAATCATATACAAATAGTGTTAAAACTTAAAACTATACCTAGTCTTTACGTATAATATAAAAAAATTCAAATTCAAATTTATTTCATTTCTACAGCGCTGAAAGTGGAAATGACGTTTCATCAGATGGAACCGATGAGGATTACCGACAGGTATGCATTCAACATTTTTTTTTAATTTATTAAAAAAATTTACATTTTTATAACATATTGACTTATCGAATCAATACATTCAGGAATATTCCGGAAGCAAGAAGGGAAGCTTCCATCAAATGCTTGCAGATGGTGATCCTACAAACTTTTTACCTTCACATCTCCATGGATTTCAAATTTATCATAAATTTTCAATTCCATTTCCGCAGCAAATGCCCGGAATAACAATTCCGGTCCCACACCAGTCCCCGGGAATCCTGTAGCTTCTATGCCTCCAACCGATCTCAACATGGGAATTGACCTATGGAATCCATCCACCGGAACTGGATCCATGAACTTACAAAAAAACCATTCCGGTGTCCAACAAACACCGGCCCCACCACCAATGATGCCTGATCATTGGGTTCAGGTATACCTGAAGCCTGTCTAGGGTTTAGGGTTTAGGGTTCAGGTTTACTGATAAACAGACCTCTTTCAGGATGAACGGGAACTTAAAAGGCAGAAGAGGAAGCAATCTAATAGAGTCGGCTAGAAGATCTAGATTGCGTAAACAGGTAATGAAAAATAAATAGATTTAAATATTTTTAATGGAAATTGGAACGAATTTAATTATTTTTAATTTAGACTTTATTTTGGTAATGTATTTTGTTTTTTTAGGCCGAATGTGAAGAGCTACAAGCAAGAGTAGAAGCATTAAGCAACGAAAACCACTCACTTAGTGATGAACTTCGAAGGCTTTCAGAGGAATGCGGGAATCTTACATCTGAAAATAATTCAATAAAGGTGCTTTTACTAATTTAATAATATCCATTTAAAAAAAATTACTTTCAATGATGATAATGAAAGAGGACATTTACGTCTTTTCACAGTCTACTATCCCACCTGGAAAAAAAAAGTACAACTTTTTGTCCCATCAACATCAGTCCCAGTCTGTCCTATTCTGCTTTTTGAATTTGTTATCAAACGATATACTAATATACCCTTTTATTTGTACATTTCTAGTTTTGTAATTACGTTTTTTATTGATTGAATAGGATGAGTTGACTCGGTTTTTCGGACCCGAAGCTGTGTCAAAACTTGATACACAACTTCAAACTCAAACAAGAAAAGGTGACAGTTAACAACATGATGAAAAAATTTGTTATAAAAGCGTATTATACAATTAGGTCAACAACCATTTTCGAGTCTTGAGAGAAGGAATTGACTTTAGGATTGATGGAGGAAGTGTGACATGTTGTGGTTTGCACCTTTTTATGCTCTCATACACTACACGAGTAATCATTTTTTTAACCAATGTTGCATGTCTATTAGAGCTTTCGTACATAGAACTTTTAGTCTTTATGATTGGTGTTATTATTGTTGTAGAAGTTAAAGTTTATTGATAGAGAATTGTTTGTTCTCATTTGAACTTGTGTTTTTTGTTTGATATGTTTATTATTCTACTTGTGTTACTTTTTTCATGTTGGTCGAGTTTGGGGAGAGAAGGAAACCTGATTATTGATATTTTTAGTTGATGTTCTTTGCATTTTGGGAGTGCTAAATTAGTATTGGTTTGGTGAAAAGAGTTGGAAAAAAAAGTCAATATTTTAGCACAACAATTCAGCCAACTAGCTTTCAAAAACAATCCAAATGGTCTTGAACCTTAGCCCAATAGATGTAAACATATTGAAAAAACATAAATGTACATTAAAATAATAGCCAAAGATATAATCCATGGGTGTACATTAAAAAAAAAAAAAAAAAAAAAAATCCAAATGGTCTTAAGCCAAAAGAAGTAGGAAACATAAGTGTACATATAAGGATTTCTATTTAGATAAATGATATGCCAACCAAAGGTGAGTTTGCCCTTGTAAAAACATTCACGTCCAAAGTTGAATGCAACAGCTATGGTGCCAAAGCCGGTATTTGGGCATTTCAGGCTAAGCATCTATTTCTCGTATATCGCTCAATAGAATGAACAAATAATCAAAGCTTCTTGCTCTAGGAGCCAAGCTTCAATATCATTATAAATACTTGATGTGTTATGATATGAGCACAGATATTGAAACGTCTGAATACAAAGAATGTTAATGAGTGACCCCGAACTTGGCTCCTACTGGATGGATTCAGACGATTTGATTTTGGTTGTAAAAGTTGAGAAAACTAGTATAGTTTGTGATATGCCTTGCGTGCAACCCCACCCGTTATAAAAGAATTAAGCTTCTTTTCGTTCCGAGCCAACAATTGGCTGTCAAATCAGAATAAAATTAGTTCTTATTATTAATCACGTGTAGTTACTAATATTTAGTTTATAGAATTATTTGGCTCTATGTTCCTAACTACTAGTTTATAGAATTCTTTGGCTTTATGCTCCAAAGTTGCCCAAGATGACCTAAATGCTCGCAAGTAGTGCAAACGTTCTACAATGGAATCAACGTTTGTACTAGCCAATTAGTTGACTCATAAGAGTCAGTTACGAAGAAAAATCTTGCTGATGGCCAAGAGATCATAGAAGAACTAGCAAGACACTCACACCAATGACATTCTCCTTGATAAGCATCGTTAAGAGGAAAATCAATTGGTGATAATCCTGATGGTCTCACCGTTCTAAGTGAAAAAATCGACAACTTCGGCCAAGATATGAAGAAAATGAACCAAACAATTCATACCATACAAGTCGGATGCAATAATTGTAGCGGTCCCCATTTGACTAAAGATTAAGACTTGGACAAGAATGGTAATAAAAGGTGCAAGGTTGTTAATTTCTTCTAACGACAAGTATGAAGATCGGAGACCCAAAAGAGAACGAAAGTCATATGAAGAGTATAAGAAGGTAAAGGCAGAACGATTTCAACAATAAGGCCAAACTTTTTATCAAAAAAAGCAAGTCGTGCAAGAAAAGAATATGAATTTCGAATACACATTGGCTCGATTTGCCTAGGCATCTTAGAAGAGACATTCTGACACCGAAGCTATTTTGAGAAACCAACAAATATCAATATGAAATATCGAGAACCAAGTTGGCCAATTATCTCGTTTAATACACGAGTGACTTCCGAGAACATTTCAAAGCAACACAAAATCTAAACTAAAAGGGCATGTGAAAGATGTTATAACACGAGGTGGTAAGGTTTTCGAACCTTTAGTTCTTTTAAAAACAAATAACTCTTTTGATGTATAGTGAACCGAAGAAAACGACAAGAAGAAAAACACATCATAGGAAATGCATTGGCGTACAAGACAATGACGCGACACGTCCATCTTAACATATTCCAAAATCTCCGGCTGTTAAGCATTATCGTCCGATAATTCGTTTTTGCAAAGACTTAGGCAGCAGAAGCAGGAAGAGGAGAACAAAAGATTTCTAGAGCACATAAAGTTTCTTTAAATTAATATTCCATTCATTGAAGTCATGGCCTAAATGCCCAAATACGCGAAGTTTTTGAAAGATCTCCTTACAAATCGAAAGAAGTTAGAAGAAACATCAAGCGTGGTACTTAACGAGGAATGACCATCCGTTATAATGAACATATTACCAACCAAGATGTGAGATCCCAGGAGCGAGCTTGAATTTGCGTTGTACACTTGGGAATTCTATAACTACTAATGCACTAGTCGATTAAGGAGCAAACATCAATCTTATGTCTTACTCATTCTAAAAGTAGATTGATTTACGTGAACCGAAAGGCGACAAGAATGGCGATTCACATGGCTAATCGATCAGTCACATACCCAAAGGTAATTGTCGAATAATTGCTCGTTAAAGTGGGAAAATTTTGTTTATTCCTATTGATTTTTTAGTTCTCGATCCTAGAAGAAGATGGAGACATTCCGATTATACTTAGTCCACCGTTCCTTAGTACCGCAAGAGATTTAGTCGATATTCATGACTTAAAGATATCTTTAAGAGTGGGTCAGAAGAAATTACATTTGGTGTTGATCAAGCTATGAAGTGCTCAAAGACGAGCGATGACGAAGTGTTGTTTTCATGGATGTTTTCAATAATATACTTAAAGTAGAAATTGAAGACCTTAAAGATGATGACTTTGATGGGATGATGCCGCTAGGGAATAAGATTTCGATGTTGAAAGAGATATATGAGAACCGGAGATGCTAATGGAAGCACAAGACCACAAGGAAGAAGAACGTCAAAAGAAACGTTATGCCCTGTATATGCGGTGTGTCACACCCGAACACGCGTCGCGTTAAGAAGAACAATCGTGATTTGGATATGAGAACAAGACTAGTACACAACGCGTTTATTGTCAGTTTCGAAGTCTCTGATTTCAAAGCTTTACCAACTTGGGATAAATCAGAACATATTTTTCAAGTACATGTTCCCAATTCTAAGGAGTTCCAGAATTCAGAAGTATCTAAAGAGAGCCTAGAAGTCTATGGTTGGATGGATGAATTGTTCGAAGGTGTGAAATGCAATTATGGGGAATATACATTATTATATAACAAAAATGTGGAGGATGACATAAAAAGGAGTTTAAATATTCCAACCAACTGCCACAATGAAGCAACTAGAAATGAAAAGTATGGTGTGAAGAAGGTCGAAACTTTAGAGATGAGCATTGGTCCGAAACCGGACCAAGAATCGAAAAACCGGGAACCAATTTATTTGGAAACCAAGAACCAAAACCTGAATCGAATACCCTGGCTTCAGTTATTGACGTACCTATGCTCTTTAGGAATGTGTTCAGTTTTGGACCCGACCCGAACAAGACTGAGAACTCGAAGAAACCGAAATCGGTTTAGTGGGAAATAGAGAATCGTGAACCAGACCAAATTACTCGGTTTCGGTTTCAGTTTCGGTTTTTACAATCCGGTCTGGTTCCATAGGTCAAACGCTTACCCTAGAAAACTGGAAAGAAAAGTCTAGTACAAAGGAAAATTTTTGATATGGGTAAACAAAGGTGTAAAGAAGAAAGACTACAAGAAGAATGAACTTGGGGAAAATAATAATTCAAAAGGAAAGATTTATGAAGTAGAGTGCACAACAAGTAAAGGTCCGGAATTTAACAAGCATGTGCATCAAATGAAGATGAAGAAAGAGATACCCCTTCAAATCACCAAAATCACTTAAGTGAGGGGTGGAGTCCAACTCAAGAATACTAAAAAAGAAGCGTTTTATGAGAGGCAACCCGACATTTGGTTTGAATTTTTATATTTAGTAACTTTATTATATTTTAGTTAGAATTTTTTTGTAGTTTTTGAATAAAGTTTCATTCTCGATTATTACATGTTATGTTAATGTGTTTGTTCAGTTGTGTTTTATTTTACGTGAGGAGAGATGATTAGAAAAGGAGAAGCAAAGGGCATAACAACACTAAGTGTAGGGTGAACAATCGACACAGAGTGTTCTCAAGGCAATTACTGCGCCAATACCGTTACATACACCAATACCGTTACATATGGGAGGTAACATATATTAGAGATGAGATAAGAGATTGATCAACTCAGATCACATCGATTTTATTACGCAATGAAACTTTTCATTGTTGCCACTACATGACGTGTCAATATTATATGCGCATCGCGTTCAACAATTACATCGCGATGGAGTTTCCCAACATTCGATATACGCGATGCGCGAGTCCTACTTATGCACCACATTTGCTGCTCCAAATTAAAAATTGTTGTTTCACCCTCGAGCTTACACATAGTGTCCGCCAAGTTTTTTCTGAAGGAGTCCGGTTTTATCAACAACGATATTCAGACTTTTGAGATTCAATAAAACATTCAGTTTTTTCATCTCAATAAACAAGTTCCCATTGATAATCGTATTCGATCTCTCCACTACTATCCCAAGGGTGTTTTTTCCTTTTTCTTCATTTAGCTTTTATGTGCTTAAATTGTCCTCGTGTATATAATGGGTACATTATATGTAACAAGTATGGGGTAGGGGGTCGAAATAGGAAATTGCTAAATGAGTTTTGGGTCTAAATAAATTTTACTTAGATATGGTTACATTGAAATTTTGTGTATTAGTGTTATATAGGATAATTTTAAAAGAATCATAAGGCTTTATTTCTGATATGTTTTAGTATATTTGTGGCTTTCTAAGTTTTAATGAAATCATGAGACAAAAATGTGAACTTGTATAGTTTGAGGGATACAATAAATTTTGCATTGTTTGTTGAAATAAACCCTTGAAAATTTATATTATTGATTGAATAGTTGACTGAATCATTAACCAATAAAGGTTGAAGTTAAGTTTTCAGGCATTTGTTTAGTTATTTATTATTATTTTTAATTACATATAAGTATGGAATAAAGCATATCCGTGGCCATTTAAACTCGGCAAGTATCCCCTAGGGTTGTTTTTATTCTATCCATCTGACATACATTTAACTCAGATCACATTAGGAAGAATTTCGTTACAT